TTAATTAGTCAAGCTGAGAGACATGCTACATTAGGATTTTTATTTTTTTTTTGGGGGGGGGGGGGGGGTCAGCTCTCAGGTGTTAGCAGTAACACAGATAAGAAAAGCTGAGAAAGTTGGTTTTGTGGTTATGGAATAGGACCAGGCCTCAAGAGATCTGGGTTCTAGTCTTAGTTTTGAGCTCAATATCTGGGTCTGCCAGAGACATCCAATATGACCTCGGTCAAACCACTGACTAGCCATGTGACTCCCTTCTCCATTTGGGTGAAAAAAAATGCATTCTTTCTTTCTTCCATTGTTTGTTTGTCATGTCTTTTTCAATTAGAAGCTATTACTTGGGTTCTCAGCATCTACCAGAACAGGCCCTTAAATCTTGGTTGAGTTTCTAGTGCATAAATAATAATATAAATAATATAAATAATTAAACCATCTTTTGAAAATATGATTTTTGAATGTAGCACTGTCCTGTTAAGCATACCTATTTTTAAGAGGCACTGAGCTCCTGACCTGATGGCACAATCTCCTTCCAAAAGGAAATCAATACCTTGCAGAACCAGGTAACACAGGAGGCTTGAAAAAAAATTATAGCTTTCAAATACAGATGCCGAGGCATTCATACACACAGCCAGATGCACAGGTGCATATCATGCATGCCTTATTAAAACGTGTTAGACTTTTGTCCCAAATGACAGCTAAAACCTTGGCAGCCATCCCTGGCTTCCCTACTTCCTGTTAGGTCAATATAAGCAATTGAAAACACAGACTACTCCATACCATCAAATTTATACTACACCTCCCAACAGCAAGAAGAGCAATGAGATGGCATGAAAAATTTCCAATAATGCTCTTTAGAACCATAACATTATTGAAACTTAGGGTTGAAAGGGACATCAGGAGGTCATCTAGTCCAACCCCCTGCTCAAAGCAGGACCAGTCCCAACTAGATCACCCCAGCCAACACTTTGTCTAACTAGGTTTTAAAAACCTCCAAGGATAGAGATTCCACAGTCTCTGTGGGTGACCTATTCCAGTGCTTTACTACCCTCCTTGCAGGATTTGAATTACACACCCACTCTTGGGGGGGTCTGCGGCAGTGGCAGCCGGAAGCCGGAAGGAACCACCGCCATCTGAGCTACTTAGAAAGGTGTGGGGCAGGCTGGGCGCTCTCGTGTCTTGGGGGGGGGGACGACTCTTGTCTCTTCTGGGCGGGGAGCTCTCATCTCTTCTGGGAGGGTTATGGGGGGGATATTTCAAACCCTGCTTCCTGGTGAGAAAGGTTTTCCTGATATCTAACCTAAACTTCCCATGTGGCAACTTAAGACCATTCCTCCTTTTTCTGTCATCTGCCACAATGGAGAACAGTCTAGATCTTCTCTCCAACCACCCTTCAGGTAGTTGAAGGCTGCTTAACCTCCCCCCTCCCTTAATCTTCTCTTCTCCAGACTAAATAAGCCCAATTCCCTCAGCTTCTGCTCATGAGTCATATGCCTCAACCCCCTAACCATTTTCATTGCCTTCCGCAGAACTCTCTCCAATTTGTCTACATCCTTTCGGGGGGGGGGCGGGCAAAACTGGACACTGTACTCCAGATGTGGCCTCACCAGTGCTGAATAGAGGGGAATAATCACTTCCCTAGATCTGCAGGCAACACTCCTACTAATGCAGCCCCGTATGCTTTCAACATTTTCCTCTCTCATTTTACTGCTTAAAAGCCACATGTATATATACCCTGATTCCTTGACTATATGCACCCAGTCCACTTACACTGCTGCAAACCTCTAGTGTAGTTCCATGAACTCCAGTGGAGTTACTCCACATTTCCATCATTGTAAAGAAGTGAAGAACTTGGCATCTGAACATTAGGATGTAATATGTTAGTATTTTAACAGCCCTCGATCATTATCATGATGAAAACATGACTGCCCTTAAGCCATAAGACTTACTTGGAAAGGTATGAAAAGTACCATTGAAAGATAGAGTCCAGAACAAGTGAAATAAAATGTCAGAAATTATTTGTGTATATTCACAAATGTTTGGAAATACGAACCAATAATGGTGACTGTGCCGTCATTCACTGAACTTACCGTAAATGAATTTACGTAGTACTTTATGTCTGGTACAGGCCTGTGACAGCATGGCTCAGTTTTCATATTTAGCGTTAACATGAAAATTGCTGTGTTGTTGCATATGATTTTACTAGAGCAAATTGTGCACCCACATGCAATTACAATGACCATACAAGAAGTGGGTCCAAGGGTTGCTGTAGAAACAGCAATTGAGAATTTATATCACAATGAAAAAACAGTAACTGTTGTTAAATGAAAACATTTCACAAACAAAATTTCAGAAGCAGTGCACCAGACACAAAGAGCATCATTAATTGCAAAATGTTCACACTAACATGAAAGGAACATAAGGAAAATACCTTAATACATTTGCCTTTTGCACTAAAAGGCATTTATGTTGCAATATGCTCATTTTATTCATTAAGCTGTTGCATTATCAAATATAATACTCTGATGGGCTGAGACATGGTTATATATTTTATTATTTATAGATGAAAGGTGTCATCCAGGTCAAAAGTATGTTATTTTAATTATGTTATTATCATTACAGAATTTATTATATATCTGAACTCTTGTCCAATTAGCTACACAATAGTTTGATTCTAATTACTGTCCAGCTAGCCACTGCCTGTGATTAATTCCAATGAAATTCCTAGGCCTCAAATCTTCAGCAAACTATGTAAAAAGTCTGGGTGCTGTGTTAACTTTCTGTCTGGTCGTTATAATAAGCTGCCCAAAAGCCTTGCTACAAGCCAATCCTAGGACACACACAATTTGAATGTTAGATTGTAAATTCTTTGGCATAGGCACTTCTTGTGTGTTTGTAGAAAAGGGAAAAGGGAAAAATCATAGGTTCTACCAGAAAAAGTAATAAAACACAACAAAAAGAAATGTAAGGCCCAACTAGAATTAGATACTTAACAATAGAGGTTCTTGCTGGTACCTCCTGTAGGCACTCATGTACAAAGCAATCTACCAACTTCTACAGAAAAATCAATTACATGCACATTACTGTGCCCAAGCAACTGCTGAGAACAGATATAAGCCATGCCTAGAGTCCAAACCTGGCTAGGATGAAGCCATGAAATTCAGCTCACACCCAGTAGGTGTATAACTGTTACACTACATATGTATCATCTTTCTCTGGATCTTTCTTTTATCTATCATCTGTCTTTCTCTCGGCAATCTTAAACTGCAACAATGCTTTCCACATGTTCACATTGTTTTGTTGAAGGTAACATGGCAGACAGGTTATAAGGGACACAGACAGTCTAATAGGAATGATATGCCCAGTATTAGGCTTTAATAGTAACCTCCAAAAGATCTATGCCTTTTACTGCCCATTGGAGCAGGAAGTAGCTAACCCTTCTCTGGGTGTATACCAGGTGATATTATTTGGTACTATAACTGGCAGCAGAGCTGATCATTGGATATAAACTGGCTAAGAAACAGGTCTTAATGGCAAAGCAGTGTAACTTTTATTGATTTGACATTCCATGGAAATGCAAGAAAGCTGTAAGTGACACTCCTGGGCTGCAAGAAGGATGTGTATAGCATTTAGAGGAGCCTGATCTGAGATTATTTTATACCTTTGTGCCAACAGATTTTTCTGGCTGCACACTGGACCCACACAGACCCTTTCTGCCCTGTGGCATGACAGTTGCACCAATCTGGGCATGACAAAGGATCGTAAGATACTACTCCACCACTTACACCTAAACTGTAACTTTGCCTTATGGCAGAATTTGATGCAAGGGCTTCCAGGGACATTGCATCCTCTATTTCCCACCAGTGTAACTCTACTGACTTCAACAGAATTACTTCTCATTTACACCAGTTTTTACAGGAACAGCCCACTGCTTTTGAATTTGTGATTTTATGCTAGTGCCTTCCTTTTACCCAGCTAATTGGTAGTGTCTGCTACATCACAGGGAGATAGAGCTAAAATCTGGTGCCATTGCAGTCAGCAAGAATCATGCCTCTAACATCCCTGAAACCAAGACTTTGTTCTGTATCTTTTCTTTCACTAAGTCACTACAAAAAAACTGGTTCCCAAGGTTTGGTGCTCATATCACAGTCCCAGACACCATCTGCTGTCAAACAGGTTTTAAGTGTGGGGGGGGGAGGAGTTGCTATGTTTTTGGGGGGTGGGTTATGCTGGCTGCATCTCTCCTCTTGAATACCACGTGCAGCTGTGAATGCATGTGTTCCCTCTTCTTCATAAATATATGACCCTAAAGACAGTGAGCCTTTATTACTATCTGCAGCAAGGAACACACCACACTATGCTCTACCTGACACAGCTGCAGTTCTTCCACATCTGTTTTACAATAACTCATTCAGCATCCAGAATCCCTGTTTCACATTAGCTTAGTGACGAGGAAGAGCACAGGGGCAACAAGAACAAGAATAAAAGGGAGTGAAACACATATACACACATCCTATGGCTTATTCTTCCCAATGATTATTATAATTTAATTTATATTGTGGTAGCACTTACAGAGCCCTAGCCTCATTGTGTTAGGAATTATACAAACTTAGCAGTGCACGATTCCACACACACAACAGCGGCCTTGCCTCTTCCTAGCAAAGACTTAACAGCACCACTATAGTGATGCTTCAGATTGCTAACACCTACAAGTGCTAACTGCTGCCCACTTGTCCCTCTATAACATTATGAATGGAAGACAAAATTAATGGGCAGAGGTTGATGCAGCTCCTGTTCATTTCAATAAGAGTTGTACCCACTTACATCAAGGGAAAATTTGCCTGAATTCGTTTTTTGAAGTAAAACAAGATGCAATGGACATGAGCAAATTTCCCAAAGGAAAGGAAGAAGGTGGGCAGACAGGCAGAGGCCTAAATGCCAGTGCTGTGTGCGCACTAGACTTCAGCTGATCCACGACAGAGAGAGAGAAACAAACAAATGCCTACCAGGCTTAATTTCCAGCAGCTTCAGCCTGGAATCCTCTGGAGGGTGTAGGCGTCTCTTTTTGCGCCAGCAGCGAGCAGGATACGTGTACAGCTGACCCGGAGCCAGGCCTGAAGGGTTAAAAGCAAAAAATAATCAGTCCTGTCTGGGTTTGCAAATCCCCACTCTTCTCTCTGGCATCTTTGCTTTTTCCATTCCCACTACCCCCATCTGTAGAGCTCAATCCTGCATTGTGCAAAGTAGCTCCAGCAATCAAAGGCAATAAGCACTCCGGCTGCTACTCAGCACCTTCTGAAATCAGGCTGACAGAGAATCCACATCTCACAAAAATGCTTCACCCTGTGCAGTCACTGTAACCAGAGCTGCATGGAAACCATTTGCGATCTCTCCAGGATAAATGGAATTTCATTCTCTCCGAAGTGGCTCAGGGGCAATACAACCTCCTCCTCCACCCTGGGTACAGAGGCCCCTTTGGGAGAGAAAGGATGCACAAAGCACAGGAAACTGATACAAGAGTAGAGGGGGCAGTTCAGGGAGCATATTGTCCCCTGAGTAGGACTGAGCCTAGGTCTCTGGGATTTGGCCCAAGGGGGCATGAGAAGGCACTGACAAGGCCAGGAAATTCTTCCTGCTCTGTCCCCAGGTCTTTGCCCAGTATTCATTCTGGCTCCTGAGGGTGGCTGGAAGCCACAGGGCTCTGGATTTTGGTTAAAAACAGATTATTTTCTGCCCTTATTCGCTGTCCCACACTAACTTCTCATGAGTGAAGAGATCTAGCAGCAACATTTAAACCACGGCAATCACACCTGGCTGCTTCCTGCCTGTATCTCTGCTGCCCTGACTCTCATGCAATATAGCCCTTAGGAAACACTCAAGCTACACTTTGCTTTGTTCCTCCTTCACAACATAGATGGGCATCACCAGTATATCAGTACTACTGAATATCTAGCACCCAGTGCTGAGAAGCATCTTCAACTCCCATTGAGGCCAGTGACAAATAAAAGCACCCAGCACCTAGAAGAGTCAGGCCTATAAAAAGAGAACCCTTCCCAATGCCCCCTCCTCTCTCCTCCCCTCCCAACACTGACTCTGGATTTGTTCTTTTGTTCTTCCTGCTGTCGCTGTGGCAACATGGAGGGGCTACAGGGTAATGTCACAGTCCCCAGCCTTTCTGTCCTTCGGAGCAAGGTAAAAGGAAATGTTTCATCTGAAACAATATAAAAGATAGGACACAGGTGGCTTTAGCATCTTAGCCACAAATGGTGACCATGAGGAGCTTGGCAATATGAAGCCCGTGTCAATAATGAATAACATCGCGAATGCATGGAGATGCCTGGGGGATGGGGGGGCACGAGCCAGCCTCACACAACAGTCAGGAATATTTACCAGGCCAGAAACAAAATCAACTCACTGAACCAGATCACGATGGCAAAAAACTCTGATATCCTGCTTACTTATAAAAAAAACAAATTACCCACCCAAATGAAGGGGCAAATCAAATGTTGCAAGTGTGGCCTCAACTTTTGGTCTCAAATATCTTAAGTGCCCAAGAACATAGGTTCAAATCCCCAACAGGCTCACCCCACTCCTCTGGCTCTTGAGCACCAGGTAATTTACTGCTTGGCTGCAGGGTGTAGGAGATTCCTGTCTGCCCTGCATAGATATTAAGCATCCCTTGATACTGTCTGTAAAAATGGAGACTGACTCTGGTGGCCCTAGCAACAATTTCCCTTCCCTGCTGGGCAGCGTGACGGTTGTTACAGCCTACCCCATAAAATGATGCATTTCAGTGACACTGCTAGTCTGTAGCTGGCTTTTAAATACAACAGCCTTATGAATACATAACACTTATACATCGCTTGATACAGATGTTCAAGGTGATGTACAAACATTAACCAATATAAACAATTGCTATTATTGCGGTGCAAATTGTGTCTCGCTCTGACTTTGGTCACTGAAGGGAAGGAGGAGCATGCAAGGAGCCTCACCCTTCCACAGATGTACCCTGTGCAAGAGTCATTCGCAGCTTGGCACTATACAGGATTGCTCTCACGTACACCAGAATGAGTAGGAAGAGTTCAGGCTCCTTGCCCTGACCCCTTGAGATGTGCCATGTGGCTGAAACAAGGAACAGAACACCTGAACCTTGGTCCACTGTATTGCTTTTGTTATTTTCTTTCAGCGAGACCTGAAAGCTCCAATGCAATTCTTTTGCATTCTCTCACACATCAGTATTTCTAGGCTCCAGCCAAGGATGGTGAAGCACAAACA